CAATCTTTTCATCTTAATGCTTCTGGTGGGTATGTCGCATTGCCATTGTGGCTTTTATTTGAATATTTTCCGTGAGTCATGACGTTGAATAATATCTTGCATAAGTCATCTTAGGTGAAGTGTATGTTACAGTCTCTTTGCTCACTTTTTATTTTATTGTTGGTCTTATTGTGTACAAGACGTTTGTATTCTATACACTGCATATGTTTTAATCGGATCTAAGCCGATCCACTCTCATCAGGTCAATTCCAACCCGGAGTCCCCCTACAGGACGGAGACCATCACTCCATTAGGTTTCCGAGCTGGTAAATGTTCACAGGAGCAAAAAGTTTCTTCTTTCGCCCTTGGGATGGCTTTTGTCTTAAGCACTGGCTTTGAAGTTAGTAGCCAAACCCTTACCTCATTGTACCACCAGAGATCCTTAGTTGGAATACATGTAAGCTTAAAAAACTCTTTACTGTGAATGGGGCTTACATTTCAGATCATCATTTTTGTAGTCAACAAATTAAACAACCAATTTAACCCCCCAAAATCTTGCCCTGTACCTCCTGAGCCCCTCTTCTCTCTCCTGTAGGATGTTTCCTTACTAAAGTGAGTACCTGTCTATCCCTTTATCTCTTTCATCCCCTTCGCTCACTATAGGTATCTCCCACCCAGGTAGTCATCTGTCTAGTTCTTTTTGTATTAAAACTTCTTTTTTTATTATGATCCCGTACCATATTTGTCCTTTTGTAATGTAATTACTGCATGACTCATAATGAGAAGAAACAGCTGTAACATCTATTAATAATTGGAACATGGAATGTGTGAAATAAGAATCTAGGATAGTTGGAAATCATCAAAAATGAAATGAAATCTATTCAGATTAATATCCAGGCATTGTAATGGTTGTCAGAGGCCATCGGGTCAATTCTGACCTATCGCAATCCTGTGCACAACATTAAAAAAAAAAGGTCCAATCCTTTGACATCCTCATACTGTCTTTGCTTGATTCCATTGTTGTTGCCAGGTGTCAAACAATCTCATTAACAGCCTTTCTCTTTTTCATTCTCCTCTACTTTACCCGAGCATGTTGTCTTTATTCTTGGACTGGTTTCTTCTGACAATACTTCCAAATTATGTACGACTACGACTTGCCTCTAAGGAGCACTCTGGATGCACTTCTTCCAAGATAGATTTGTTTGTCCTATTAGTAGCCCATGGTATTTTCAGTATTTTTAACCACTGTGATGTAAATGTATTGGTGTTCCTTATTCAGTGTCCAATTTTCAGATGCATATGAGTAAATTGAAAATATCATGGTTGAGTCAGGCATACATTAGTTAGTCTTCATGTAAACTCTCTGCTTTTCAACAGTCTAATGGTGTCATGCAAAAATTTGAAATGTGTTTTTTGATCTCTTAAATAAGCTTCCATAACCATTGGTTGTGGATCCAAGCAAGACAAAATTCTTAACAAGTTCCACCTCATCTCCATTTGTTATGATGTTGCCTTTTGGTCTGAGGAGCCCTGGTGGTGTTGAAATTACCCATGGGGCTGAGATCCACCAGGTCGGCAGTTCAAAATCACCCAGGGCTTCACAGGTGAAAGATGGAGCTTTTATGGGTAAAATATAGAATGATGTAAGGGGGATCAAATGAAGATGCAAAGAACACACAGTCAGTTTACTAAAAATAACTACTCAACATTCAACCATTTCAGGCGTAACTTATAAGTAAGGACCAATGAAGAAATCCAAGCTGCCCTGAAGGCAAAAGCAAGGCTCAGGAATTGATGAATACCAATTGAAATGTTTCTACATGCTGATGATCCCAGAGAGATGTTTATTTGTTTTATTGACTATGCAAAGATATTTGACTGGGTGAATTATAATTTTTTAAAAATGGATAACCCTCAGAAGAATGCAAATTCCATGATACTTCATTGTATGCATGATTTTGTGGGCAAAATAATTTGTAGAAAGATGGTTGCCTCAAGTCTTTATAAACAGATTGAGTACATCACTTAAAATGCATTAAAAATAGACTAAGAAGGTGGCTGCAGCTATGGGCTCAGGTGCGGGGACGATTGTAAGGGTGGCGCAGGACCAGGCGGTGTTCCGTTCTGTTGTGCTGTGGATCAGAACCGACTCAGATCCTAGCATAGAACCTAGCCTTTGTAAGACTAGAAGCAGAAGGTCTTGCATGGATTAAAATCAGGAAAGGTGTGCATCAGGGTTGTATCCTTTCATCATAGGGCTTTTTGTCTCATCAAAATCTTAAGTAATCACTGATATCATGACAGTAATATTACTTTATTCCAAAAGATAAACCTCTTAAATATCTCCAAAGCCCCAATCAGGTATATATACTATAATAACATATCTCTATACTGGTCGGGACCGCTACTTTACCCCTTCCTCTGTTTCTCATTTTCCCTTTGTAAACATTCCATTTCTTCTAACAAATCACTGCTCTGTCTGGTCCCACCTTGATGTCTGCGTCTCAAAGATCCGGAATCCCATAAGCACATTAACAACCTTTTTTTCAACCAAGAAGCAATAAAATATGAATATGTTTTAAATGAATAATTATGGCTTAGTTAATATACTCTTCGAATGTCAAGTATTTAGGGTCAATAGGGACAAAATTGATATATCACTCCTCACCTATTTATAGTAAAAACCTATATAGAAAACAGTAAAAAACAAACAAACAAAACAATAAAGAGTCCTCACTAGCCCAGCAAACACTTAAATGGAATAAAATTTGTAATAGTTAAAAGTTAAATTGAGTACTTTATGAAAATTAGTACCTTGCTTATTAGGGAAACTTATTATGGTATGTTTCCAAACAGTAGGTTTATTTTAACAGTACAGAATAAAGAGCAATTGGTATTGTCTAAAGCAAGGGTGGCAGTCTGGAATCCAGAGGGAATAATTAGGCACTTGGATATGTTTGTTTGGGGCAGCACTTGTTTAAAGGGTAGTGATTATAAATATACTTAGAGAGAAGCTCCTCACTTAGAAAGACTGAGTGTGTATTATCTATCCCTGACACTTTTTACTGAGTTTCTTCACGTATTTGTATGGACTGCCTGACCTTTGGGATAGTACACTGTTGTTTTTTGTTTTTTCAAAATAGGCCTTTTCAGTAATGAGGCAAATTAACTGAAGCAGAAGATTTTGTGGAAAGATGGTTCCCTCAAGCCTTTAAAAACAGGTTGAGTACAGAACTTACAAATGCATTAAAATGAGATGAAGAAGGATAGGTTTTATTTTCATTAGCAGTGGGAAAGAAAACATTTTGAGCAGGAGAATTATAGTTAAATATCATCATAAAGTAATCAAAATACTCTTAGAATTAAATGTAAGGTAATACTTTTAAAATGACTTTCACATTTGTTGTATAAACAGGAAAATTTTTTTAAATATTTAATACAAAAGCATATGGTTTTTATCACTTGCTTATCTCATAATAAGCTTGAAATTAGTGGTTGGTAAATGAATCAGAAGGCAATTCAATCATACAAGTAAGAAAGGAGAATTGGGCTTGCAAGTTTTAAACTAAATAGAATAGTTAATACCTTCTCTTGATGGGAAAGGAAATGTCTCCCTTATTAAGACAGGTATGAGAGCTCCCTTTCACAAAAAGTTCACGTTTCAGTTTTGTGATCAGTCTTCTATCCACCAGGGTTGGAAATCATCATTAAAGCCCTGATGTGATGACTACCAAGTAAGTGGGGGCTGTTCTGATCTTGTCAGGAGAGGAAGCACAAAGATGACTCGTAGACACCCATCATTCCACTGGGCGCCACCCACACACCCCATTGAATTTCTCAGTGAAGAACCAAAGCAGTCTGATGCTTACTGTACCCCCAGGTGCTATGTCTTACTAAAAATAGAAAAAGAATACAAAATATGTCAAATAACAAGGAAGAGGAGAAAGGCAATGAATAATCTGTGGGAAAGGGGGCAGAGGGAGAGATCCTCTCACACATGAAATTGTCATAAAAATTAGATTTATGGATGAAGTCAGTAAAAGCCCACAAGAGGGATGTGTAGTAAGAACATTGATAATAAACTCATTAGGAATGTCTCCCAAGAATGTCTGAGAAGCAATTCAAATTCTAAAGATGCAGAGGTGTAATATTAGCTTCAGATGTGGGCCAATATGTAAGACATTTGGGGAGTTACCAAGGGAAATAAGAAGACAGCTATAAGAAGGAAACTGTGGTAGATAAACCAAAAATTGAAAATACGTGCATGCAGGTTTGAGATTAGAAGTTAGCAATGCAGTCTAATGTAGTCGGTATGATTCAGATACTCGAAAATGCTTTCTTTTATTCTAATACCGAATCAAGATTTCTCATCAAGGGACGCTGACTTTTCTTTTTGCTTATACATGTTTAATGAATAAAATTATAAAATAGAGAAAAATAATTTATCAGCTGTAGAAGAAAATTTCACTCTTTCCAGTTTTGCAATTTTTCTTATGTCTCTCTTTAATATATCATTATGCCTACTTGATGATCATTTCTCATTTATTTTCATTTTGTATTGCTGCTCTTATGTTTTCTTTAATACAGTCTCAAAATTGATGCTCATCTTGACTACAAGTGTTTTTATCCCTCTACTTTTCCTCCTTTCTCAGAGCATCTTCCATTACTATTAAAGAATATTTTATCAGGAAATACCACTAAAATCCAGCAGTATACAGAGAATACTGGAAATACAACTCTAAGGCAATGTATTTTTTCTCACTATAATTGACTTCACTTGATACTCTTCTGTTTTTCCCAGAGTTTTAGTTGCACCTGCTCTGAAATATGGCATCCATCCCTATAACATTTCTTTTATGCCAGGTTATTCAGGGCACATTGCCAGAAGCTCACCTTAAAATATTTGGAGAAGGAGTACTTGCTAAAATAACTCCTTTCCCTTTCCCACTTTCAGTCCCAGCACAGCATAGAAAGTTTATATAAATTAGTGATTACAACTATATTTTTCTTCTTTTTTTAATATGTATGAGACCAAGCATCCCTGGGCTGCTACACGAAACTAGCAGACAGGGATAGCTAAGAAACAACTTTACTTTGAGCAGGGGGAATGACAAAATAGCACTAAACAGCTGTATTGTCGTCTGATCACAACTATTGTTTATACTGTGTCTTCTTTCTTCTGAGCTAAGCATGTAGAGTGTTTTATATACATTCTTATAATCATAGGGCTGTAGAAGACAGAATTCTAAAGCTTTTCCTCCAGGATGCTCCTTTCATTATTGTTCGATCAAACACAATTTCCATCCTGATCTTAAGAGGCTTTAGTGATTGAATTAAATTACCAATCAGCTGAGTTTACAATCAAGAGATTATATTGGATTATGTAGCTAAACTAAAGCAATCCCATAGGCTTTAGGAGTAAGAAGAAAAAACACACACACAAAAAAGTCAGACTTTTGGTAGAATTCAGAAAACATAAGAGATAAGGGAAAGGAGCAGAATCAGAAAGATGCAAAGCTACCAAAGGATTCTGCTCACCATGGTTGGTTTTGAAGACGGAAGAAAGGGTCCATAAACTAAGAAATAAAGTAGACAGGAGAAGCTGGGAAAATAACAAAACCAAAACACACACTCTGCCAAGATCCATCAAGGACATGGGGGTCTCAGCACTGCATCGATGTGGAGTTTTACTGTGCCATCACAGGAATGAGGCTGGAAAGGGAGTCAGCCACA